GTTTTGCCAGCCTCCAACAACAACTGGCTAGAGGAACTCACTGGGTTCTACAATAATAGTAATGGCAGCACCTATGACCTGGTCACACAGCAGAACTATCGGAGCACCCATACAGCGTGCAACTTTGGAAGTGCAAACCAGGAGAGAAGAGTGATGTGAGTCTTCAAGAAAATCGTTCTTAAGCAAAAAGTGCGATGATTGGCTCAAAAAGCGCAGCCTTGGACAGCGCATGAGGAAATTGCTCCGCAAAGGCTTTGGCATCAACGGCGTTGCTCGCAGGATTCGTCCAGTGTCGCGGAAGGCCTGCTTGTGTGCCGTGGAGAGAACCTATTGGAAATAACATGTGCCTCAGGCCTGAAAAATACTCTGCAACTTGTGGATTCAGATATCGGCCGCACTTATGCCCCATCTTCTTGACGCTGGAGCGATACATCTGGGAAAACTTGATTTGATTCGCAAAATCCTCAGCTGCCACGTCGCAAAAACAAACCCATCAAAAAAGAACAGAACTCTGAGCAACCCCGCGCTGATTGCTCTTGTGCTCACATCATTGTCAGGAGCTGCTGTCGTTGTCCCTGAGAAACATCCTTATTGGGCAGCATTCAACAAAACTATCCAACTGATCCTTGTCTTGAGTTTTCCACTGATACTTCCCCAGCTGGAAAATATCTTCACCCCCTTGAACATCTTCGCACCGTTCTCTTTGGCGTGCTTCTTGGACTGGTTGACCTAGGTGTGATGAGCGCGAAAAGAAATGTAACTGAAAAATTCTTTCAGCAGGATCAAACGACGTTGGGAGTCCACACAACCTTCAAAGCCAAGGGCTCAACTTTGGGCATCTGCACCTTCCAGACATCTAAGGTTCTACCGTCCACACTGGTGGCACAAAGTGGCAAGGTCGTCGAGCTCAGGTCGTCAAGCAAACACTGACGCTGCAAAGAGATCGAACAGGGACATGTGCGCTGCTGCTTCTGCACCAAATCCTTACGCACAGGCTTGGCTTTTGCCTGCAGCAAGTCAGTTCCAGACTTTTCCCACAAAACACAAACATATCCGGCAAGCCGATTGACAAAAACAAACATATCCGGCAAGCCGATTGAACAACTTCAGCTGCCTTTGGTCGCTGAAGTTTTTCGGCCCTTCCCATCTTCACAGGTTGAGCTGGCATGGCTTCTGGTTCACCGTCAGACCTTGAGACCCGAGCAGGCCAATGAACTGCCAAAAAAAACAACAACCTTACGTCTCAATGTAAGGCGTCCACTCGCTCAGCTGGGTAACCGCGGACCAATGGGCCATACTACAAAAATGGCTCCGAACAGGCGCGGGCAATGATCACACCCGACAGCGATGAAAGCAACATAAAAATACGTGCTTTCCAAAATCTTCAAATTTGCTTGCCAAATACCCACAAATCTCCGCTCATGTGCCCAAAAAGGATAAACTATAGGAAGATGTGGAGGAAGTAAGAACCTATAGGGAGAGTTGGAAGAAGGAAAAGCCTATTATAGGAAGAGTTAGACAAAACTTACACTCCACATCAACGCGTCCCCCCTTTTGCCAATCAACCAAATGAATCTGCTAACTGGCTCAATCAACAATCCAGTATCCAGTCAATCAACCCCAAACTTTCACCGCCAATCACCAACATCCACACTCTCTTGTCCTCTCCACGCACCAGTCAATCACCAACATCCACACCCTCTTGTCCTCTCCATGCACACTCAGAGTCTCTTATCAGCCACTGATCAGAAGAGATTGAAGGAACCCCCATTCATTTTCAGACCCCCATTCAAATGAAATTTCTTTAATGTCATGTCGCGTCAACAGGTCCTGAGCGCTTCCGGTGTCGGCGATCCAGTCCTCGTGCGAATGGTGGAAGTACTTGACCTCCCTCGGAGAGGATGCGGGCAAAGCAACAATGTCAGAAGGAATGCATGAGTCACAACCTAGGTCCGAATCACACATGTACCTACAAGCTGCCTTGACACCTTTCAGCCAACCGGACACCGCTCCCTGAAGCATGCGTGCTGACAAGATCGAATCATCAACTGCTTGAACGTTGGGCTTGGTCTGATAGCTTGCCGGGAAAGTCTTCTTCGGTTTGGATGGTTCCGAAACAAAAGGATCTAATCTGCCCCAAGCATGGATCCTAGTGACATCAGGTTTGAGGTTGAAAGATACACCTGGACACGCAATGTGTGGCTCGCCTTCCCAGGCCGCCTGGCTCTCATTGATGTTGATTCCAATCTGGTCCAGCGCGGATGTCGGACCGCTCAACGAGAAACCATCGACAACGGATGCGAGCATAGATGCGACCAGACAAACTGCTGCGGGAGTGGACTTGCCTGCACTGCCTCTCGAACCACGAGAACCTTTAGAGGATCTAGAGCCTCCAGACTTACGCGAACCACTGGAGCCCCTCGACTGAGATCGGTCTCCCTTCTTCTTTCGACGTTTGTCTTTCTTGCTCTTGTACGTCACTCTTCTGAGAATCTCGTGAAGGCGACCTTGCAGGAGTTGCCTTCCTGGGTCGTTGCTGACCTTCGTGGGAGAATTCACACTTGTCCCCCCGCTTACAGCGTCCAGCCTTCCAAAACTTGCACGCAATCTTGGAGGTGTCCCTTTTCTCTTTCCCTCTTGACTGCGAGCGCCCCCTTGGACTCTTGGTTGCACTCTTTTCACGTTTCTTGGGAACTTCATGCTTGTATGGACAGTTCTCCTTGCTACAACCCCCTTTGTTCCACTGAACACAAAACCCCCTGGGGATGAACGGTGTGCGAGCGTCGGCAGCGGGAGCGGACGTCTTGGCACCTCCAACACTAGCGGCAATCCGTCCCCGATTGTCCTCTAGCCTTTCCCTCATGAGATGTCTGCGAACAGCGTCATACAGGAATTGATAGCAGTGCTTTGAACTTCCCTCTTCGGCCCGGTGGTACTCCTCAATGTCGTGGGCGATTGCCCTGTGATTCTTCACTTGTTGGTAGAATAGAGTTTCCAGGACAGTAGTTTCAGGCAAATGGGTAACACCGGTGGTGACTGAATCCCAATTCGATAAGAAGGTTTTGAGATTGTCGCCCTTCATCTTCACGTTGAACAGATCACTGAGGGAATAGGTGGCACCATGTTTGATGTTGGTGCTGAAATACTCGTGCATCATCAGCAACACCTGTCTCCCCCGTACCGGACGATCTTTCTGGGATTCTTTCTCCTTGAATGTGTCCACCTTGCGAGCGAATTCACCTGTGGCGATGGACGACAGTGCGGCAAGAAGCTTGGCGTCGAGGGTAGTAAACCCGTCAGGACTCGCAAGACCTTCAATGGTTTGACCTTCAACCCACACCTTGTTGATCCACGAGAATGCTTTGTCGGGCTTGGAAGACGCAGCCCTCACTGCATCCCTCACCCTGATTTTCCAATTGCGATAGTTCTCGGGCTGTGGGAACGACGGTATCTTGATGTGGTCAGCTTCCTTCGTGGTACTGCTTTTTCCCCCCAAAACCTGTTTGAGCTTCCTCATAAGAGCCTTGTCTGTCAATTCATCGTCATCATCGTCAAAATCATCTCCACCGTCTGGATCACTGTCATCCCCCGGAGGTCCAGGTGGTCCACCCCCCGACTTAGGAATCTTGAGAAGCGGAATGCCTGGACGCCCAGGATTGATTGGATCACTTGATGAACGACCTCCATCAGGATTGTCTCCTCCCCCTCCCGGCGGTCCACCACCACCATTACCTGGCCCGCCCCTACCGAAGTTGCCTGACAATGCATGTGCTGCTAATGACCCGTACCCATCATTCCAAGGACTCACCGGTTGGAAAACTGTTGCGTTAGGGGAAAATACGCTTCCGGGTTGAGACTTCAAGGATGGAGTACCGAACAGCTCAGCAGTTCTTAAAGACCTGACATCATCGTGTTGGGACAAACCTGCAGGTGGTGCTTCATGTATTGGTATGGATTCACGAAGTTCGGCAGCTCCTTCCGGAATGCCCGGCGCATCATCCTTCCGTTGCTTCATTTCACGAAGTTCCTTCAGGAGCTGTGCCTGGACGGATTCCGTCTCAGTTAGCCGCCTCTGCAAATCCATAGATGTTTGTTGTTGCTGTGCCAAGTTCATCTCGAGGGACGAGACTTTCTGACTCTGCCTCATTTCAATTCCAGCGATATGTTGACGGTGGTTCATGGACATTTCCATGAACTGATTCTGAGCCTGCTCTTGCAGTGATTGATATCCAGTTTCGGCTGCGGTGATGAACAATTTCGCCTGGACCCTCATCTCCTCATTCTCAGAGAACGCTTCGTCAGCTTCGTTTCGGAGCCTCTGTGCTGCGAGCATTAGTTCTGCTCGTTGCCCCTCAAGTTGCTGATTTTGCGAGGCCTGGCGCATCATCTCCGCCAGTATAGCTGGAGGTGTGCTCACAAATGAAAAATTGGCCTGATTGAATACCGGCGCGGTGTTCCCACCCGCTCCCCCTCCGTCCATTGACATGTTGGATCCTCCGTCTGGTGTAGACGAGACGCCCGGATCCATCAATGGGAGATGGAAAGCGGCGGGGTTTCCACCCGCGCTCTCACGCCCATCCGCACCGTTGTACGGCGCAGCCAGCCTCGCGAGGGCTGTCTGGTCCAGACTTAAGTCCATGGCTGCGAATGATGTAGGAGCAATACTACGGGCCTAAGGCTATACGGCTGATAACCTATGTTTACAGGAAATCAGCCAATATCGCTCAACTTTTTCCCTTGAGCCAAAGCGAGGGTAAGGAGGTATATATACAGTGAAGAACAATGCTTACTTAGAAAACACAGGTTCGGACAGAACTGCGTTGGGCGAGCAAGCAAATGCGTATTTCATGATATATCGGGATTCGCTAGGAAACTTGGGGCCCTTAGCCAGTCAAAAGCCTGCGTGGATAACCCTGGGAATCTACAGCACTCCAATTTGTAACCTCATACTCAAACTGACACCTAATTTGCACGCTAGCCGCTAGCACTAGTCAAGCTGCCTGTCTTGGAGATTCCCACCACCTGCCGGCCAGCACAAGCCAAAGGCCAGCAATAGGCTTGAATGGCTGTTGGCTCCTGCAGCTTCCAACCCACTCTTGAGACGAGAATCCACGCAAAGAAAGACCTGGCTACCGCTGATTTACCGTGAAAAATCTGTCAATCTCCGCGTTCTGTCCTTGAACGCTTTGAACTTGGCCATGTAAGAGATGAGCACCTGGTCGTCTAGATGCAAGTGGCAAATGACACTTAAATGACATGACATGCTGACATAAGAAAAAAGACCTGATTATCATACCAACGGTTTGAGCACATAGCGGAATCGTCTGGTGCAATGATTCACTGAACAAATGCATCGCTTACACTTTCAGAACAATAACTAGTACCACAAAGCTTCAAAGACACTGCTCGCAGTGCGCTTGTCACAAGGGTACTTATATATATTGTATAATATATATATTATATATATATTATATTGCGAGTTATATTCACAATGCATACTATACATTACATTACATTACATTACACGCTTCTTGTTCCAAGCACTCTTCAGCAAAGCAATGAACTGAGGCCCAAAACCTGAGGAAGCTTTGCCTTGGCACTGCCTTGTTGCACCAATTCAAACGTATCCTAAGCAACTCCAGTTGCAATTTCAGCAGCTTTATGCTCAAACAAAAAAAGCAAGTACAAAAGCCATGAGGGCCACCTTCAAGACGATCAACTGACTGTGGAAAACTAACTCTAAGCAACTCTTGCAGCCCAAACACCCATGGCTTGAACTCAGAAGCGTCTTTTCCAAAGATCTCAACAGCTGGAGCTGAAGGAGCAGGCTCGGTCAAACTATCCTTGACCGCCTAAAGACAAAAAAAACGTCCACAAAAAAGCAACTATTATTTGGACACGCAAAGGTATGGTAACATACACAATGGTATTGATGCTGAGCCTTCTGATCCATCATGCACATTACGTCACATTACTAGATGTTGTAACATCTGCATTACTGATTACTGTATGCTCCCTCTGAGGCGCTTCCAATCCTGCCACCTTGTCGGAGGGAGTGCCAGTTGCTGCAGCTTTCTCCTTCGCTTGACGTCTTCGAGCTGCGCCACTTGTGGTACTCCGGAGCTGCAACTTTTGGCTTGGCGCACTGCTTGGGGCCAATGACTCCGCTGCAGGGCGTTTCCGCTTCCTGCACCAGCCGGGCGATGAGCAAGGTGGGGATAGACTGATAGAGATAATTTTAGTCCAAGTATATGAGTAAACATAACATATATATATATATATGCGTCATTGGCCCCTCGAACAAGGCCCCCTTTGAAGGGGCCTTATTGTTCTCGCCGACAAGGGTTTGTTGGGAGCAAGGAGGCACTCTGCGCTCCATGCCCAAGGCCCAACATTCAGAACATTGTGATCTATATAGCCACACTCACAATAGGAACAAGCAATCGAAAGGGAAGCACCAGGAGGTTGGAGACTCCTTTGCACCAGCTTGGAAGGCACGACCAACAGCACTCAGCATCCAAATGGCCGCACCGAAAATGGCACCATTGGGAAATGCCCTGCCAGCACAGTTCTTTTCCGAAATTGAACCAAACCAGGTGCAACAACGATTTTCCGCACTACTTAAATATCAAGCCCACTCCGGATCAATTGAACATACGATGCAGGTGTGGCCACAATATTAGAAATTCAAATGGGATACAGTACGCAGGGAAAGGAACACATACACACAAGTTCAAAGACTGAAGTGGCCAAATCATCCCCATCTTCTATTTCAATTGATTGCCGAAGCCAAGGAACTGACAACGATTAAGTATCTCTTTGTTTTGAGCTTTTGAAGGGTTTTCTCATATACTTGGACTGGAGGGCCAACTTTGAAGGCACGACCTGTTTGGGGGAGCGTCTTGTTGCTTTGCGCTGAGTTGCATCGCGTATGTGTCCTGTTGAAGGTTTGTTGCTGTCACACCAAAAACTCTGAGATCAAAACTTAGGAGGGCATTCCACGAAGGGCTTTAGCATCCAACAAGTACCACTAAAGTGACCATGCATCCATACATCTTGTCTGTAATATAACAATATAGCACTTCTCCCTATGTGTGTGTGTACAAACAAAGAAGAACACACTAGGCTCCATCATGCTCCATCTGTGACCTTTACGCGCTAGGCTATACCACACTCTTCTGCAGTGCAAAAAAATTGGGACCTGGTCAATGCCACCTGTCTGTGTTGCCTGCGCTGCTCCGCTTTGCCACAGTGTCAATTTTGCCCATCTCTATGCATCTACCTGCAGTAAACTGTAGTATAGACTAAAACTTGAATGAAACATGTCCAGTCTAAACAAATAATATGATGATGTGTTTGCATGCTTGGTTGACTCCAAACGCACAGATTTTTGGTCCTCGGGTGCTCTTGGAAACAAGTCCAAGACATCCGCGTAGGAACGTGATTCAAACCTTTGTGGGTTATAACAAAAACTGTGGTTGATTTAGTAAATGCAAACCACATCTCACGATCTTCTTACAGTCCTGCTGCATTTGACCTCAACTTCTTGCGGAGCTGCAGGAGCTCCATTTCTGTTTTTTTTGCGGCCAGAGCTTCGAGTTTTGCGCCCAAAAATGCTTGCCAACATGCGAATCTATCTGCGACAAAGCGCCATACCTAGTGGTAGCCATCAGGTGACTGCCAAAGAGTGAATCTGTGGATGCCGAACATGCACCGGTGAATCTCACGGGAACTGGTCGCTGGCGGAGGTCAATCCAATTTTTTTTATAGACTGCAAACAAATTAAGCATCCAGGACATCATTCCATGTGACTGGTCAACATGTTTGTTTTGTTTCACGGCAATCATGTGATGACTACTGTAAAACTGAGATTTCGTCGTTCAGAACATCTATATACTGAGCTACGCGGCTGCAGGTGCATCCAGGTCCACTCTCAAACCCTTGCAACAACCAAGTCCCAACCTGTCGACTTGCGCAAGAAACAACGTGGCAACATGGAACCCAGCCAGCAAAGGCTCGCCCATCTCAGCGTGGCTTCGAGCCAGCACAGCAGCCACATCCTGCAACTGTGAACAGTGAAAAGCACTACCGTAAAACTCAATTGTATATGATCAGTCTAAATGGTTCTGTCCCAGTGTGTGTTCTTTTTGCTTCGAGCCTTAGATGCTTTGGGTCTTTAATTTGTCCTTCCCTTTTTCCTTCCTCTTTTCTCCCACCTGCCAGCTGAGGGTTGATAGATTCTATCAAAGGTGTCGTCCTCCTCCTTCTCCTTCTCCTCCTCCTCCTCCTCCCCCTCCGGACTTCAACTGCAAGGGCTCAATCGCAGTGGGTACCGCCGGAACTCAACTGCAAGGGCTGGATCGTAGTGGGTAGCCGGGCCTCACCTGCAAGCGCTGGATCGCAGAGGACGCAGCTGGATCTCAACTGCAAGTGTAGCGGGCATTGCCGGACCTCAATTGCAAGTGCTAGGTCGCAGTGGGCACTGCCGGACCTCAACCGCCGGGCGTCAATTGCCAGCAATGGGCACCGCCGGAACCTCAGCCGCCAGCGCTCGATCGCAGCGGGCACCGCCGGATCGAGCGCTCGATCGCAGTGGGCGCCGCCGGACCTTGCCATACAGAATGCCAGACTATATGGCAAATAGAACGCCAGCAATCATGCCAGAGAGAATAGAATGGCAAAGTACATGCCAAACAGAATGCAAGAGTATACGCCAGATAGAATGCCAGAGTATATACCAGAATGTATGTCATGTAGAATGTCAGCAGCTACGCGAGAATATGTATGCCAGGTAAAGTGTCACAATATATGCCAGATAGCATGCCAGAATTTAGGCCAGAAAAGGATAGATTAAACCAAGGAAATATGCTAGCAACGATGCCAGGTACAATGCCAGAATGTATGACAGTTAGAATGTAAAAGTACATGTCAGATAGAATGTCAGCAAAAATGCAAGACAGAATGTCAGACTCTGTGCCAGATAGAGAATAGAGTCAGCATGTATGACAGAAAACCAGAGAGCTGAAACAGTGCGTCTATAGGTCTCGAGAGGTGTAGAAGCAGAATTGGGCTCCAGAGAGAGGCGATGGTGGTGATGATGGTGGGCGGTAATGGTTGGTGGTGGTGATGGCGGTGATGATGGAGGCGATGATGGTGGTGGTGATGATGTTGGTGAGCGGCGGCGAGGTTGGTGATGGTGGTGGTGACGGCGGTGGTTGTGATGGTGGTGGCAGTGGTTGCGGCGGTGGCGGTGGTGTTGGTGGTGATTGTGGTGGTGCTGGTGGTGGTGCTGATGGTGATGGAGGATTCACAAACGAGGTTTAGAACTGAAGGTTTAAGTTCAGAGTTGCAGAGGTCTGTAGGTGGAGAGAGAGGTCTAGAGATCTAGGGCTGGTGGTCTAGAGAGCACACATATGAAAAGACATTTAAAAGCACACACGACAAAAGTCACTGACGCTAAGCAGTGGGTCAGATTGCAAGTGGTCTAGATCAGCTATGTTTTTTACTGAAAAATAAAAACAATAATAAACACATAAATAGAAATTTTAAAAATAAAATAAATATATAAACATGAAATAAATATAAAAATGAAATAAATATAAAAATAAATATTAACAAAAAATCATTTTAAAACAGTTTAAATCTATTTTTTGAATCTTTAAAATCTTAAAAAATCTTAAAAAATCTCAAATCATCTCACAAGGCGGGGTTCGTGGTAAAGGGTACGGTTTCGGAATTACAAAATAATTTTCCAGGAGCAAAATCTTAAAATATCTCAAAATATCTCAAATCATCTTAAAATATCTTAAAAATGAAAATATGAAAACAAATGAAAAATATGAAAAAAAACTGAAATTTTCTGCAAAAATCTGAAAAATTAAAAAATAAATAAAAAGCATAGAAATATATGCAAAAACACTCTCGTGGTGAGCGTTGTCTGACAGGAACAGTCTGAGATTCTGCAGACTGTTGTGGTCTCAGACGCTTGCTTGCTTGTGGCAAGTGTGTTCAAAAAAGAAAAAATTGTTGTTGTCACACATGATCAATTGTGTGTCAATGGGTTGCTGAAAATGGAAAAACATAGTTTTTGATTTTTTTCTGTTTTTTTATGTTTTATTTTTGTGTGTTTCTGTTATTTTCTGTGTTTTTTTGCTTTTTTCTGTTCTTTTCTGTGTCTTTCATGAAAAACCATGTGCGATCCAACCCTTGCAGATCTGACCCACTGCTTAGTCTCAGTGAAAAAGAGAGCGCGCACACACACACACACACACGTATTGAAATTCAGATAGAACGCACGCCAGAGAGATAAAATACCAGACTATTCTACAGTAAATAGAATGCCAACATTTACGCCAACTACAGCGCCAGAAAGTCTGCCAGACAAACTGTATGCCAGATAGAATGCCAGCGTATATGCTACGTTGTAAGCCCGCAACTGTTGCTGGATGCCAGATGTATGCCAGATAGAGTGTAAGAATATATGTCAAATAGAATGTGACAGATAGAATGTAAAAGTATTTGCCAGATGGAATGCCAGAGTACATAGTACATGCCAGAACGGGTGCCAGAATGCAATAAATTACTTTACTTCGAGTAATCCCCACCATCTGCTCAAAGCGCAGCCCGAAACACTGCTCCATTGTGTTCCTCTGGAACAATGAGCATGATGTCAACAGCATGGGTTGGCTCAGCTCACTAAAGCGACTCCCCGTTTTCGATGTAAACCCTCGCCGGACGTTCTCCTGGAATAGCCGCCGCATCCATGGGTTCCGATGTAGTCTGGCGCGCCATGACATTTCCATCATTTGTCTTCATGGTCGTGAGCTTTGTGGTTCTTGACTTTGTTTGTGGGCGCTCGGGTTGTGTGCCGTGATTGCGTTGCGTGTGGTGGTTGTGTGCTGTAAATGTGTCTTTGTGGTTGAGCCAGTGTTGTGGTTATGTTTCCGGTTGTTTTTGTGATTGTATTTGTGTTTGTGATTGTGCTTGTGGTTGTGTTCGTGGGTGTGTTGCGGCTGTGTGTTTGTGATTGTGTTTGTGGTTGTGTCTGTGTTTGTGGTTGTGTGTTTGTGATTGCGCGTCGTGGTTGTGTGTTTGTGGTTTTGTTTGCGGCTGCGTGTTTGCGATTGCGTGTTGTGATTGTGTTTTTGTCTTTGTGGTTTTGTTTGTGACTGTGTGTTTGTGATTTTGCTTTCGGTCGTGTTTATGATTATGCGTTGGTGGTTGTGTGTTGTGGTTGCGTGCTTGTGGCAGTGCGCTTGTGATTGTGTTTGTGGTCGTGTTTGCGACAGTCACAGAGAAGACATCCGGCAGGGAACACTGCCAAGCGGACCTCGCGGTTGAGGTCCGGCGGGGAACACTGCCAGCGGGATAGGATATATGCAAATAATATGTGTATATACAAACACGATGGAAACTTCACACTTCCTTTGATGGCAGAACAAATGTCCAAGTACATACCAGGGCACATACCAGGACCGAAGTCTGACCATATGTCACACCACGTGTCAGACTTCACGGCGCGAAAGATGCCAGGACACAGCCAACAAACCAGACTTGATGCCAGACCAAGCGTTGGAACATGGTGTCAATCCGCATGTCCGCCTTTTTCAGGCTAATCTATCAATACACGTGCCCTGCCTTCTTCCAAGTCGCCTTTGAGGGTAGGGATCACTCGAAGTAAAGTAATGTTTTGCTTTGTTTCTTTGTGTATTGTAGTGATTTCCAGTATTATTGATCTATCTTGCAAGTCAGCACTTACACTTCGTTGTGGAGGTGAATGCGCTTGCCTCCAACCTCGTACGAGCATCCTCGCTTGGGGGCGGCTTTGGTGCAGGCGGTGAACCTCAAGGCATGGCAAAAAAAATCAAGGACCAAACGCAAGAACATGTACTGTAGTAGTACATAAACATAAGACGTGGAGTGAGTAGAGCAGAAGTGGAGTGGTCAAGGCCCTTCAGGTCATTAGCAGAAGCCTTTCGCATCTTAAGCAAACAGGGCAAAAGAGTATATATATATATATATATAGCCTATGGTATAGTAGTGATTCATATACGGATTGCGTTTGACAGTAGTAGTAACTCAGTAGCACGAAAGCTATTGGCCACTGCACGCTTACAGTGTACGCATTCTGCCCCACAAACGCTCCTTGCTGTGTCATGTTAACTTAGTTTCTGGGTAGAGAGACACCTCCCTTACATCAAAGTGGAAGTGTTAAGTGACACTAGGAATACTGACAGTGACTTCTTGTCGATAAAATGTAAGTATAAGCTCACAGAAATACGTACATGCTAAGTACAGTACCTCTTGTTTGTGAGCAACTGGCGCGCGCAACTCTCAAGAGACACTGAAAAACGTCTGAGCAACAGCCATGTGAGAACCCCTTGGCAACAGTGACAGTACAGAATCGCACACCCTTGCAGTACCCTATCACGTGCTCTCCGCCCGCAGGAGCCCGCACTATTTGCTTGATGACTGGGAAGGAGCTGGTCACACTCAGCTTTGGCTACCTTGTCACGAACAATCCTGGTCCTAACGATACAAAGGAACGTTGAATCTTGGTGAAGTCATTTTAACTTTGGACGCTAGGTTCTAGAGATTCCACAGGAAATGCTGTGGAAGGACTGACAC